TTGGTTCACAAATTGCAAGTTAACATGAATTTAGACATGATGAGGCTTAAAACAGTTTTGTGCACATACAGGTTGAAAACACAGGTGCACACAAGTTACATGTATATCAACAAATGGTTTTTGAGCTTCTAAACTGGTCTAGGACAGCTGTGGTGGAAAATGATAAGTGAGCTACAACTTTGCCACATAGAGGCACAAATGCCAAAAACTGTTTTTAGGTCTGTTCAAATCAAGTTGGATGCACACACATATTTCAGATATAGCAGCAAATGAAAGCATGTATACTATATTACAAACAGCATTTTAATGAAACCATTATGCAGAAGGAATTGTCTTGGAGCCACAACTTAATGATGCAGCAGGGCATTTTGATGAAGGACAAAATAGATGAAATTAGCTTATGCCAAACACATACACATATCACAAAGGTATCAATGAATGATTTGTGAACTCATTTTTAAACCAATTCTGTTTTGAAATCCATACTGGCAGTTTCATGGCATGAAATGCAAGAATATGGTGTTTTGACAATGAGATTATGAACCAAATGCAAACATCTTTGAACAAACATACATATACAACACAATTGTGGTTTTAAAATATTTCAAATCAATCCAAAAGGTTGCCCCCAAATCATGACAGAATTCATGCATAAACTACACACATAACATGCTTTTTCATGATGAGCTCAAAACGGATAGAAGCAGTTTGGCATGAGGAGTAATATCAAATGATTCAATTAGTGCACACACATCACAAACATAGAAATGGATGAGATTAAACTCAAAATTCAGGCCTGCTGCAGTCAGAGCAAAATTTGGTATGGTCATAGGATTAATAAGCAAAGTATGGCATTTTGAGGTATGAAGACATCAATTCAAGGTTACAACCCAATTCAGTCTGACTTAAACATACATACATGCTATAAACATGTGTTCAAGTGAATTCATGTGGTTAATTTAATGCGAGGGACACTGTTATGCAAAATGACATGTTAAGGGTAGGCTTATGTTGGTGAGATGCATGACCATGTGCAAACCTTGTTCAAAATAGTTTCAAGCCATTTCAATCACACACACACACACACACACTGCATATAAAATATGAGATGAGGTTGAACACAAATCATAGCCTAAAACTAATTGTTGTGAAAAGTGATGCTTCATGTGCAAGCTTTATGTGTGTGAAGTGCAGCAAGATGTGAGATTCTTGTTTCAGACATACTTTGATTAGACTAGGCTTTCACACATACCAAACATATGATGTTGTATGGATTTGTTCACAAATTGAAGCTCAAAACAGTTTGTAGTGAAACATGATATCAAGGATGCAATTTTGTCAAAATAAGAGGCATGATGGGATGAAATTTTAGTTCCAAACATTTATGAATTTAATCAAGTATATACACAACTCACATGTATGCATACAAATGAAAATAGGCACAAAGACATGTTTCAAATGGACTTGTAAAGCAAAATGACCACAGGTTGTTGTAGGATGTGAAGAACAATTCAGTTTTGAAAGTCCTATCCTAAAACAGAAAGCAAATAACTCAATCTAAATGTTCAACACATTGTAAACACAATAACACCAACTGTTAGGAATTACCAAGCTACCATAAATCAAGGTAACACAACAACTTACCAGCTTGCTGTAAAAAACCAGCCTTTGGCTCATTATGTAACAGGGCATTTTCAAGGAGAACAAAATGAGTAGGCACATGCACATCACACCAACCACATATACACATGAAAAATTAAGATCTAGACAGTAATCATACTTACAAAACAAGTATGCCTCAATTCTCACAGTTTTGACATTATGGAATGCATATGCAAAAACAAGTGATAATAAGCTTCTAGGCAAAACAACTCAAAGTGATTTTCATGACATTGTAATGGATGGAATGGGGTTAGATACTACATACCTGTTGCAGGTAATCTTGATCAAGCAAAATACACCAGAAAACCAGAGGAACTCTAAGCCACCACCAAGTTTTGTACTTTCTTCTCTTTTAAGCCAAAAATGCAAATTTCAAGTCAGTTGAAGAAATAAACTCCACTTCTTGTTTCCAATGACTTAGACAGCTGATAAATGGTATATGTGAGGTATGTGAGTGATTAGAACACCAAGGAAATGCTTAGAACAAGATTGGGTAGGATTTATGGCTTTTGGTCAAAGTAACTTGCTGAAGAAGTTGACTTTTTGATTGGTGAAATTTTTGGGTGGTTTAATGGTTTAGACACCTTCTATACCATATTTAGGGATTGTATGGATGATTGTTGGAGTGTTGGAATGTAGAGAAATGATTTTGGCAGCCCTTGCACCAAGACAGATTTTTAAGCTTTTTAGTGAAAAGTGAGATTTTGTGATTTTGAAGTTTTGAGGCAAGAGCAAAGGGACAGAGATTTCTTCTGGTTTTTAGAATGTTATTGATGATGAAAATGAGGTGGGGGAGAGTCCTATTTATAGGCAAGTGGAGTGAGGGGGCAGATTTGAAGGTTTCTTCATTTTGAAGAAAGGTTTTGGCACATTTGGAGGAAACCTCCCTAGGAGGGTTTCCTTGGCTGCAAGGCAGGCCTCTTTAGTCAAGAAAAATGATGAAATTTGGTGGCTAATTACAGGCTAGAGGTATAGCATTAAGGCCGGTTCAGAACTACTTTTACACCTCATGCTTGTTTTTACTTTTTGAATGCAAGTTGCAAAACAACTTGCAAGCCACTTGTTTTGGCTTTGAAAATTCAAGTTCTGCATAATTCCTTGATTCTTTCATGCTACAAACATTCCACATATCATATACAACATGTTTCATAAGCTGAGATTGGCCAACTTTGATGAAAGAATGCATTTTGAAACTTGGACAATGTGGGACTAAAGTGAAAAACCACCAACTTGCCATGACCATAACTTTCAGCTCACAAATCCTTTTGAGATGTGCTAGTACTTTTTAGAAAGCACTCACATAGCTCTAAAACATTCATGTTTTCATGAGTTTCAATTTCCCAAAGAAACTTGGCCAAAAAGCCCTCCAAAGTTACTAAAAAATGAACTTAAAAATGAAATTTCCCCGAGTCTTTTTCCCCTCTTGAAATGAATTTGATCATAACTCCAAATCTATGCATCTTCTGATCATGGACCACTTAGGGACTTTTGTAGGACTTGTCAAGAGCTTCCAAATGAGCTTTGAACCAACTCAATTGGATGTGTGGTTAAGGAGTTATGGTTTAGCCCCTTTCAAAACCCTAATTTCCCGATTTTTCGATTACTCCTTCATCCTTGATCCAATGGTCATGAAAATTGATATGCAAGTCCAATATGACATAAGGAACAACTTTGTTTCACAACTTGAAGTCCAATTCCTAAAATTTGAAGAGTTGACTTTTTGGTCAACCGTACGACCGATCGGTGATTTCGAGTCGCCTGTTGACATTCTGGGCCTCCTGAGACTTTGAAACTTCTTGGATTAACTTTATTAAGCTATATGAACTTCATGAATCACAATCCCACCATTTAAATATCTTCCAACATCAAAGTCAAACTACAGTTGACTTTTATTGGTCCAAAACCCTAATCGGGTGCTCTGAAATATTGCTCTGAATTCTGGGGTAACAACCTCACATTGGCTTCTCAATTGATATTATATAATACCCTTGACCTTGTTTCCTATTTGAACGAGCCCAAAACATTGACTAATTACAAACCTTGAAACTTTGATTTTGACTGCCCGAAACCCTGATTCATCTGCAATTGACAAAGACAGACTTGCACTGGGTTAAGATTAGAAAATTCATGAGTATGCTCCTAAAATGATAATGGGAATCTAAGGGGTCAAAATTTGGGGTGCAACAATAGTATTTGCAGGAATGGAGAATATATTTAGGAAAAATCTGTAATCTCAGGTAGTTCATCATTGATGTGGAACTTAGTTACATTGGATGTGTTTGAAACACATAATGAATAATCTTCTACATGGTAGTTAAATTACAAATCAAATGTGGTGCAAAAAAATAATGGAAAACATAGTAAAAAAAGTAATAGCATTACATAGAGTTTTGACCTTCCTCTTTGACTTTAGCAAATTGCAAAAGGATTATTTGGTAAAGATAAGTGTTTCCTATATTTAATGTATTCATGGAGCTGCAATGTGTAACCTTCCCAAAGGGTATAATGTATAGTGTTGTTACTACATACATAGAAATCAAGAAAGTTAAAAAAAGTTAGACGAAGATGATAGAGAAAATAAAATTAGAATGTTGCAGGTTTGTTATAGACACATCCCAAGTCTTTCAACACCAAATTTATTTGTTGTTTTTTGTTATAGACACATCCCAAGTCTTTCAACACCAAATTTCTTACAAACATGAGAGTACCTAAAAAATTTAAATTTAAAGCATAATTAAATAAAAAAAATATTCATTTATCTTTTAACGTGTGTTCATTAAAAATGCAGATAAACGAACGCAGGAGTGTCCGTATAAACGTTAGTAATATATTCTTTCTTTTCATAAGAGTAATACTGGAAACTCCTATGAAATCAAGAGTCACAAACCGAATGTGACTACCAGACCAGAGAAAGAGTATTAACAAACTTGATACAACAACAACATCAAGTCATGGAAACATCTTCAAATCTTGAAAAAAATATTATATTAAAAATTGTTTATTAATTTTAGTAAAAATATAAAACTAATTATTTTATAAATTTTTTTAATATAAATTTTTTATAAGTAAGTTTATTAACGTATGTTTTAAGGGCATAAGTTAACAAGTAAATGTAAGAATGGGTTGTTTGTTGAGACTTGGGATGTTAGGTGAAGGACAGAAATGGAAATTGAATAAATTGTCGGGAATCCAGTGTGTACTTCCACACCTGACTTATCTTCTTCCATCATCCAGCTCACTATTGGTTATCTAGATTTTCTGATCAACATTTCGTAACTCGTTCATTTTCACCACCTTGTTTCACAATTCCAAACCTTAATCTCCCAATCATCATCATTATGGCTTCTTCAACCATTCCAAACACACCCATAACCTTGAATTCCCACACCTTTGTTGATCTCAAATCACCATCGACATTATCCAACTATGTGAGCTTCTCTTCATCAAAGCGCCGACAACCTCCATGTCTTTTCACGGTCAGAGCAAGTGACTCAGATTTCGAAGCCGCAGTTGTTGCCGGTAAAGTACCCGAAGCACCTCCAGTACCGCCTACACCGGCGGCACCAGCTGGAACCCCAGTCGTTCCTTCACTTGTGAGTATTATTATCATTATGTCGTGCATTGCTAAGCGAAATGTTTCAATTGATTTTGATTTTTTCCGTTTTGTTAGCCAATTCAAAGGCGTCCCCGCCGGAATAGAAGATCGCCTGCACTTAGATCGGCGTTTCAGGAAACAACTCTATCACCTGCGAATTTTGTATATCCACTTTTTATTCATGAAGGTTAGTTTTTTAGTGTTTGTGTTTTTCTATCATTATAGCTTTTAGGGTTGTTACCTATAGATAAATATGCTTACATTGTTGGCTTGTAGGTGTGGGTTGAATTGTGTTGTGTTTGTGATTATTTGATTTTAGATTTTGAGAAGATTTGAACTCTTTTTGCAGGTGAGGAAGATACCCCTATTGGGGCTATGCCTGGATGCTACAGGCTTGGTTGGAGACATGGACTTTTGGAAGAGGTTTTCAATCAGCCCTCTCTTTCCCCTTTTTTATCTTCAAAACTGCATGAGTGATGGTTACTTCATTCTTGTTATTCCTAATTGAATTTTAGTTTAATTTCAGTGAGTATTTTTGTAATTTAGGTTGCAAAAGCACGGGATGTCGGTGTTAACAGTGTTGTGCTCTTCCCCAAAATTCCAGATGCTTTGAAGGTTTTATTCTCTCTCTCCTACATACCATAAGTTTTTAGTAGAATAAATGTAATCTAGTATAACAAGTTTCCCCCTTTAGACCCCCACAGGAGATGAAGCATATAATGAGGATGGTTTAGTGCCTCGGACTATACGGTTGCTCAAGGATAAGTACCCTGATCTTGTAAGTGAACATAGCTTTTATGATTCAAGAATGTTATATTTTTCTAGTGAATGTCAGAAGATAAATTAATCTAATATCCTTTCGCTTTCAATTTCTCTTCAGATTATTTACACAGATGTTGCATTAGATCCTTATTCGTCAGATGGACATGATGGCATAGTCAGAGAAGATGGTATGTTAACAAATTTGTCTTATGAAGTGGCTTTTCTTGATGGACATTCAATAAAATACTAATTATAATGTATATTCTTAATATCTTATAGGAGTTATTATGAATGATGAGACTGTTCATCAGCTTTGTAAACAAGCTGTAGCCCAGGTAATATAACTACATGTTTCATGTGTACATCTTCAACTAGGAAGTTACCCATTGTTTTGTTCAGGGTTTCCTAAACAAATTACTCACCTACAGTATAGCCTTCAAAGGCAAATTTATCAACTTCTATAAAACTTTAGGAAAGTTAATGATTAAGCATTGTTAATTGGTGAAATTGTCATATGCTTCTATGTTCTAAACAAGTTTTTCATTCTATATCCACAGTAAGACACTAACGCAATTTATATTGTCTTTACATTTTATAAAAGGCACGGGCTGGAGCAGATGTTGTCAGCCCCAGCGATATGATGGACGGTCGGGTAGGAGCGATGCGAGTGGCTCTTGATGCTGAAGGCTTTCAGCATGTTTCTATTATGTCATATACTGCAAAGTAATTTTATGGTCATTTATTTTTTCTTATCTTACTTTCTGTTTATGCCAGCATGCATTGGAAATTATTGAAGATTATATGAACTTAGAATCGATGGCTATCTATTATAAGTTGTAGCATTGGGTATCGGTGAAGATATTCAAAATGTGTGGCATATTGATATTTATAATTTTATAGGTGAAGTAGTTCTGTTATGCACAAGCTGGTTTCTTATGCAAGTTATACACAATTTTATCTTCCTTTCGCCAATAATCATAGCATTCGAATTCCGTTAGTTATGCATCTTGTTGCTGCCATGAACATTTCACTATTTTTGCTAATTGCTATTCATTTGTCACTGAGTTCACTATTATTTTGGTGGACGTTGCTATTAGTTAATGCATCTTTTCTTGGCAATTATATAACTCAATCCTAAATTATGCCATTTATCTGCTCCCAACAGGTATGCAAGCTCATTTTATGGCCCATTTAGAGAAGCATTGGATTCAAACCCCCGATTTGGAGATAAGAAGACGTATGTGTTATCTTGAAATCAAACTTCATATCAAATATCTAATCTATTTTACATAATTGATTCTTACTTTGCCATAAATTTGGTCTGGCTGAACAAAAGCTACCAAATGAATCCAGCTAATTACAGAGAGGCTTTGACTGAGATGAGGGAAGATGAATCAGAAGGAGCTGATATTCTTTTGGTTGGTTTAGTTTTATTTTTGTTTCTTTATGTGTATGATCATAGTTAGGAATGGAACTCATCATATGCTCATTTTTTACACTGACTTTAGAAAATTTGGATGTGCAGGTAAAACCCGGCCTTCCCTATTTGGACATCATAAGGCTACTTAGAGATAATTCTCCACTGCCAATTGCAGCATACCAGGTTCTATTCTGGCCTATTCTAAAATTTGATCAATGTTCAATTATTTCGGACCAATGAATACTGATAACCTATATACTCATAACAGAAGTTCTTATACAATAGACAAAAGTGTCCCTAATGATGTTTTGCTTTTGCATGTCATCAAACTTTAGTCCAATTCTTTCCAAAACAGAATGATTGGCTATTTCTTTGTGTAGTGATCATATATCCGGTCTTTGGTGATTTGTCCAGTTTGGGAATATAAATTGCATATGCTGTTTATAACATTTTTAACTGCCAAAACAAATGAACAAGACTTTAAGTACAAAGCTGCCCAAGTTGAAGAAGAAACTTGTTTGATATGTTAATTTAATACTCTCTGCAGTCACTATTATAAGAAAAAAAAATGTTTCAAATTTTGGTCACTATTATAAAAAAAGAATGCTTAAAAATTTGGTCACTATTATAAGCAAAAAAAAATAAGTGTTTCAAATTTTAGTCACTATTATAAACAAACAATAAAAAGCGCTTCAAATTTTGGTTACTGTTATAAGCAAAAAAAAAAAAAAAACTTCATATTATGGTCACTATTATAAGTAGAAATGACTACTTTTGACTTATTTACTACTATTACTATTAATATACCCTTCATGTAATTAAAAAGAATTTATGAATAAAGGGCAATTTAGTAAAATATCTTATGTCTTACATGGAATTTATGAAATTAATTACGCTCAACTACATTTCTTAAATACTGTGATAGTTATTTTTGCTTATAATAGTGACAGAAGGGAGTAGGTTAATTGAAACACTTTTATTGTAGTATAATTTAGCAGTCTTATTCGTGCTCTAGAATGACTGGTTAACATTTTTACTTCCTCTTTCCTTACCAATCTGCAAGGTTTGGAGCTTCTTTTAGACAGTTGGTAGAGAATGGGAGCAAGTATACAACATACAAAAGTTGTTCATAGATATATGGATGCCATGATGCTTGATACCCTACCCTTAAGTTTGAAGCTGTTTAGAAAAAACCTTGGAATACTTTTATGTGAATGAGAGGATATATTTGAGTAGCTTAAAACTTTTTTTTTTTTTTTTGCTTTATTAATGCCCCTTAATTCATATAATCCTTATTTCATGAAACAGGTTTCTGGTGAATATTCGATGATAAAAGCTGGTGGTGCTCTAAAAATGATTGATGAAGAAAAGGTTATGATGGAGTCATTATTGTGCCTCCGACGGGCTGGTGCTGACATCATCCTTACTTATTTTGCTCTACAAGCTGCCAGAACTTTGTGTGGAGAGAAGAGGTGAGGTTCCATAAATATATAGGGCAATTTTCATCCTACATGGCCTTTTGCTAGCACGTGTAGAGTTCATATAAAATGCTGAGATTTCTTTTTACAAAATGTGATGTAGTTTTTGTAAACCCATAATCTTATTCACATGTAATTTACTCAACTTCAGAATAAATAGTACTGTATAAATGACAGAATGTACTCAACTGCAGAATAATTATAACTGTAATGTATTTAGTGCTGAAATGACGTCAAATGGATTCAGTGACTTTCATCTCCCATGACTTTTTGATACCTTTAAGACTGTTATCATTCTGAATATGATGTGCTTATAAGACTATCATCATTAAGAAAAAGGTCAATCAATTACATCATTATTTAATAGTTTATACAGATGTACATCTGCATCCATAAATGGTGAACATATTTTATACATATATTGTGCCCCCACCTCCTCCCTCCCCTTCTTCTATTTCCTATTTTGAGCCTACCTTCTACACAAGGAATTGATATCCTGGTTTCTACCGTGCCTTAACCTCAAGCAACACATAAACAGAGAACATGAGGAAGACGGATCAACCAGTGTACATATTTGTACAAAGTGGAATGGACATGGTTTTCAACATCATCCGTGTTCAATGAGGTACCTCTCTGCGATGGTGGCATGAACAGCAGCTCCTATCGGTAGAGCGTCTTCATCAATCATGAAATGCGGAGAGTGTCCCGTGTGAGTAGACCCCAGTGTTTCATTCCTTATCCCTATGTAGAAGAAAGCTGAAGGAACGACTTGGGAGTAAAAAGAGAAATCTTCGGCACCCATCATAGGTGGGACTACCCTGAAATTCTTTCGACCCAGCAAATCGATTGACACTTTTTTAACGTGTTCATACATTTGGTCATCATTAATCATGGGAGGGTAAATATTGTACTCCTTTTCAAAGAAATCAACTTCTGCAAAGCATCTGTAGACACTAGCCTGTTCTACAATCACCTGTTTGAGAGATGAGACAACAATAGGATTCAGTTCAGTTCATTCAGTCATTTGCATTTACATTAGCATTAGTATAATACAAATGATGATACATTTATATGCCAAGTCACAAACCTGCTCTATTCTTTGTAGCAGCTGGTAAAAACTGGTGTTCGAAAATGCTCTGAAGGTCCCACCAATGACAACCTCGTCTGGTATTGTGTCATGACTATTGCCTCCATTAAATGAAGTTACAGACACAACCTGAATTGTAAAGGGAGCCAAATGGTTAGTTTGGGAGTTATGAAATCAAGACCAGAAGAGAACAAAACAGTGAGGCGATACCTGTGAGTCCATTGGATTTGATTCACGAGAGACAATGCCCTGTATGCTGATAACTGCAGCTGAAGCGGCCAAAAGTGGATCAGCTGAGTAGCGAGGGTTCGCAGCAAAGGCTCTTTTCACACTAATCACTGCTCTAAAAAATCCACAGCCAGCCAACAGGGGTCCAGGCCTCGACCCAATTATAGCAGTCGGATGTTCGTGGGATACATGAACTGCAAATATAGCCTCCACGTTCTCCAAAGCACCGTCTTGTATCATTCGCTTTGCACCATTACCAGCTTCTTCTGCTGGCTGGAATAACAGAATTACAGTACCCTGTGATGACAACAAAAATACAGGCTTAAGGGCATAGGTTTAGTGAAACAATTTCTCTCTGTTATCATATAATATTGCGTAGGGAGCTGGCATAATTTGCAAGAGTTGGAATTACCATCCTGTTAACATGTGTCTTAGGGACACTTATTAAGACGTTAAAATGGAATTACAAGAGAGGTTTTGTATTAAAAAAATTATTTTCAAACTTTAAGAAATTGAATACTCCACTTCCAAGATAATATTTGATTCATAATAAGTGATTTTATAGCATTGTTTGAGGAGTCACATGACATGTGTTTAAATGAAAAACGACTTAAAAATCTATTGCACGGAAAATTATTGATATTTTAGATTATTTTATTTTGTTATTAGAATTTTGAACTGATTTCACCTAAAACATAAAAAGTGTTTTTAGGCTACTACTAGCTAAAAATATTTTATTTTTGTTTGGAAAAATAGAGAGATAAGAAAATAACATGAGTGACAAAAAGTAAAAAAGAAATGTAAAGAGACATGAAAAGGAATAATTTTAGTATTTTACTTATATACATTAACTTGAAAAACACAAAAGTTATTAGTATAAATATATATTTTTACCTATCCCACTAAACAATTAAAATAATTAAATCAGACAAATTTTTATTTTTATATTTTCATTTTTTCTCCTGCATGCGTTTCAAGCCAAGCAAACCATATATTTATTCATCACATCACATTAAAAAAAAAACATAACGCAAGAATCCGTACAAATGCTCTGTAATAAAGTAACAGTAACATTTCTTTTTTTTAAAAAAAGTGAAAAACAGTATCTGAACTGATAGCTTCGATAATTCGTAATGGAGACAAGACAGGTAGATGTTGATTGACTAAATTTTACTCCAATGGCAATGATCCCCTCTTGAAATTTCATTTTGTGTAAAAATTATTCTTATGATTTTGAAATTTGAATGTAACATGCACCACAAAAGTTGCAATAATGGACCTTTTTAATTTAACTTTCTATTTTTGTAATAATTATTTCAAGATAAAAAAAATATATATCACTTTTTCGGCACATACCATAATGTTTCTACACTTGAAAAAAAAAACATAATATTTCTACATCCGAGTTCATTTCCCCTTCATTCAACACCTTCCAAGTAATACGCAAAATTTCATCCGAATATTCACGTAAAAATTTCATCTAATAATATTCAAAACCGGCTCCATCTCACTCTAAAGAAACTAATTTCAAGATATTGAATTATCATATGAAAAACAAGAAAAAAAAAAGTTGAGTACTGAATAGATGGCATAGTTCATCTTTGAATAGTATAAACGACTAAATTCATTAAAGAAGAAATATCGAATAAAACTGAGATGATAAAAAATGACATTTCAAGGTTTCGTGCAATGGTTGTGTGGAGGTATGTAACGAAGATAAAGACAAAAGGGAAGTAAAAATTCAAATTTTGAAATCCAAAATTTTAAATATATAGTTAAAACAATTAACGGAGTAATATGCATGTCAAATTAAAAAGATTCCGTTGGTGCACGTGCACCACATTTTTGGGTGCATGCATATTAGTGCATGTTTAATATTAATACTGGAGTACTATATTATTACTCATATTTATTCTAGTTTTGTCAAACTTGTTCGTAAATCTAAACATGCACTTAACAATATGTTATAGATTTAATTCTATAGAGAGTTCTTCAATGTGAGAGTAAATTGACTAGCTGGTAATATCAAAGTTAGATCTACTCCTTTTACTTCTAGTTGTTTCTTCAAACGGTTTGAGTTTAGCATACACAAAAATGAATACGAAATTTCCCTTTCGGAAGTACTATTAATGTAAGATGCTAGTATATTATCACAAGAACTTTCATTATTTCTGGCACTAAGACACAATTGCCATATGGTACAATTATTGGTAATGAATTGACATTGCACCTATATTGTTGTTTTCACTTTTAGAGGTGGGGAAAAGGACAATAAAATGAAGACCAATTTGTGAAAAGTGGTATCATGCAGAAAACCCCAAAAATGGAAACTGAAAAAATATTAATACAAACTCAATGAACCCTCCCAATAATGAAAGCGTGTTAGTATAAGATAAATAGTTTAATTAAGTATTTATTCAACAAATGTTTATCATATATAATAACTTATTTATAAAATTATTTTCACAATCAAAAAGAAATATGAGTAAACTATGTATAAACTGTTACTATAAACTACATGCATATATACATACATGTTAGCATTCCCTTAATTTTACTGTTTACTAAAAGGAGGAAAACACAAATGCAGTGGCTATATAGTTTTGGTTTGACATATTATAAAAATTGTGGTTGAAAATACTGTAAATACCCCTAGTACATGTGCGTGAATAAGGGGAAGAGGGTAAGAAAAAAACCTTTAATAAATGCTCACGAGTTTTCAATATCTTGGCAGCACCAATAAGCATCGCCACATGTGCGTCGTGCCCACAAGCGTGCATTTTACCGGCAACTTTAGACTTGTACTCCCACTCAACACCTTCCTATAACCAATCCCACACAACACACCAATGATTTGGAAAGTTATAAATTCATTCCAACTATAGTTTGTCCACCACAATATAAAGTTAAGAACATTTCTTTATCAAAAATAAACAAATACAGCTAAGAATATAGTACTACTCCATATCAAAAAAAAAAACTAAAAACACTAAGGTTTTAGCGCAACCAGTTGTAATATGCTTATGCTACCAATATTTCATTATTGATAACAAGAAAATCATTTTAAAAACTTCAAATATTTCATGGTATACACATCAAAATACTCCTAAAAGTTCCAACATTATGAATACAGCATTTTTCAAACATTGGCAAAATTTTCAACTTTTTCATTCATGGTGTACTCATAATTCATCAGACAAAATTAAAAAGAAGTACACAATCTAGTACATTATCTTATTATTACTTGAATCCTAAAAAATCAGACAAAACTTTTAAAAATATTTAAAAGATTCAAAACACCTGACACACATACTTTTAAAAGTGTATGATTAATGTGAGACAGAAAGACAAAATCAGATCAGGTGTACTATAATATAGAATTTAAATCAGATCAGGTGTACTATAACATAGAATTTAAATTAAATATAATATCCGCGTATTTTCCTGAATCCAACTCATCTAAACTTTAATTGAAAAAATGTAGTCATAATTTTTATGAGAAATTTTGTACTTTAAGCAATAATTTTTTTTCATGACATAAAATACTATAGCCTAATTTCGTTCCAAAATTAAAACAAGTAAAAAAAATTTAATTATTGTGTATATTCTTATTATAATACTAGTATTTTTTTAGGGTTTTCAAGAAGATAGTGTTACGAAGGAAAATAAATAAATAAAAAAGGAAAAGAGAGTGAATAGTGGAATAGAAGGAAGTGCAACCTGGATAGGAAGTGCGTCCATGTCAGCTCTAACTGCAACAAAAGGCGGACCTCCTGTACCGATCCAAGCACGAATACCGGTTTTCGCGAGCGGGTACCGATAACTAACTTCCATCAGATCCAACTCCTCTCTTATCAAACGGCTCGTCTCGATTTCCTGAAAAGCCAACTCCGGATTTTCATGGATCTTCCTCCGAACAGTTTTCAACCACTCCACCGTCTCCGGCAGCGTCGCTACGCTCATCACCGCCTCCGAACACGCGTCGCTCCACACCTCACAGTTTGTTTCCTTCGTCCCCCTCATCGTTCCGTTTTTGCACGGATGTATCGTTAACTCTTTGTTGCTCTCATGATCGCAGCATCTCCGATCGGAGAATAAAACGCGGTCGTAAGCGGCGGAAGGTATATGCGCGGCGAAGTCTCCCACCTGAACTGTAACGGTTAATAAAAATAATATCAAAGAGTTTCGGAATTTCATTTTTCTAATTTTATTTTATTTTTGAGGTGTAACAACTAGAGAAAGAAGATACGAGGGTGAGAGAGTAGTGAAGAAGAGATGAGAGATATTAAAAGATAAAGAAGGGAAATGGAGAATTTGATCACGTGGGATAAAAGAAGTTTAAAATAATGGACGGAGGGAGAGAAAAAGTACTTACTTTACTTTTTTAATTTTTCTTTCTGAATATTTTATGATTAAGAATAGAATTCGAGCACGTGGGTAAGACACGGAAGTAAATGCAAAGCAGGAACTGCGGTAGATGGGTCCCGCCACTTTCAGCAGCTCTTTCCACTCAAACCAAATGGACAGATGCACACGCCATTTATTCATGGATAATGATTTTCTTTTTTTTTTACTTTTATAAAAGAAATGCTATTCGCTCCGTCCTTAATTAAACCTTTCTATTTTGTGTGGTAAGATTCTCTTTAAGAGTTTGTTTGTTTCTCATAAAAGTGGAAGGAAAGATCGAGGAAGGAGAGAAAGCGAAGGGATTACTTATCTTCCTCCCTTTGGAACAATTGAAGAGGAAAGAAAAGATTATTATTGCTGGCCCCCGTAATAAAATTGGTTCCACGTATTGGGTGGAAAGGTGGGGAGACCATTATTTTGCTCAAAATTACTAACAAGACCTGCATATAACAAGGAAAATTCTAGGATGAAGTCATACAAATGACTTCTTTAGTGAAGTTTCAAAGTCGGCCAATGAGAAAACATTGTTAACTTAGTTAATGCCACATAAGATTATACGGTAGATATCAGTTACTATATATTATATTTTTATATTTTTTAAAATTGTAATAAGTCCCTAACATATTAAAAGTGATAAAATTATTCTAATTTTATAATTTTATATTGTTTTTTAATTTTAATAGTTAGTGTGAAAATTAATTAAAACAATCGATTGTCATTTCATCTCAATACTGTTGACGAACATCAAGATTATATTCATCTTCATCTTACTCATTTCACTTGAAACTCTAATTTCGTGTTTGTTTGTCGTTGTTGATCAAAACTAAAGTCATTCATCGTACTCATTTGTCATCATATTCATCGTGTTCGTCCGCTCATTAAACATAACACCAACAAAATCTACGTTCGAGGAAGAAATTGAAAAGAAAAAAGTAATTTGTTAGTGTTCGTATTGAGAACACAAATCCCAAGATAAATACGAAAATGTTTGTTATATTTATTTGAAATTAATTATTAAGATTTACTAATTTTGAATGTAGTATTGGGGTGTTAAAATTGATTTCAATATGTTAATTAGGGCTTATGCTTGAAATTGTTTTCAATATGTGAATTAGGGATTATGCTTGAATTTTTTTTCTATATATGAGTTTTGTATTTGATGATTTTGATTTTTTTCATTTTTTAAGTTACCTTTGATTTAATTAGGAAATTATGTATTGTGGTTGATGTTGAGTTTTGTTGTGTTAAAAATTGTGTTAATTCAGATTTACTATGGAAGACTATGACGACTTTGATTCTAACTACATTCATTCTGCTGATAGTGATACATCTGATGCTAAATTGAATGATATTGAGGATGACAATTATTCAATATCTAGTGGGTATCAAAGTTCAGATCATTACGATGATGATGGTAATATTCACCATGATGATTTGGTTGAAGTAGATGCAGTTGTAAGTGATAGATTGATGAGTATTAATTTCATTACTTCTAATAAAAATCGTGCTATGTAATTTGGTACTGTTGATGAAACTTATGAGTTTTATTATAGGTATGGTAAATGTAAAGGCTTTGCCATTAGAAAAAGTGATGTTAAGACAAGAGGGTCTGAAGGTAGTAAAATAACAGTAATGAGGTAGTTTGTATGCAATAAACATGGTTTAAGAGATAAGAAACACTTATGTAAGGTATATAGGAAAAGAGATCACAGACGTTTGACCCGTACTAAATGTGCAACTAGGTTTCGTGTGCACTATAAAGTAAAAAATGATAGATATGTAGTGTAAGTTTTTGAAGAAGCTCATAACCATGAATTAACCCTCATCCAGGTTGTGCACTTACACCCTATTTATCGTCAAATTTTTGAAACATATAGAGCTCAGATTGATGGTCTTTAGTCACATGGAATTAGAATATAATGGGGTACATGGTTGCTCAGAAGGGTGGATATGCTGGTGTTGGGTTTACAAAAAAGGATGTACAATTATTTTGATAAAAAAAAATAGGTGTTATTTTTTAAAATGGTGATGTTGACGCTTCTTTAAATGATCTAAATATAAAGTCATCTACTGATCCCATGATATATATTGTCGACAGTGATAGACGAATGAAGTCTCTTTTTTGGACCGATGGGAGCAACAGATCTGACTATTTTTGTTTTACCGGTGTGGTTGCGTTTAACATAACTTACAGGAAGAACAAATACAACTACCTATTGGTTATATTTTCAGGGTGTAACCACCACTCTCAGACAGTTATTTTTGGTGTTGCATTGGTATCAGATGAAACCACAAAGATGTATAAATGGTTGTTGAGGTGTTTTTAGAGTGCATGGAAGATAAATACCCAAAAACAATTGTAACAGATGGAGATGGGGCTATGAGGGAGGGTATAAAAAATGTTTTTCTAATGCGACCAATCGATTATGTGCTTGGCATTTGAATAAAAATGCAGTGAAAATGTAAATAAGTCTGAATTTTTGGAAGGTTTTAAGAAAGCCATGTACTCAAATTTTACAAAGGATCAATTTGAAGAGCTTTGGTCTGAGCTAATTAAAGAAAATGAACTTGAAGAAAAATATTGGGTTGCCAAAACGTATAAGAACTACGTCTCAATGTGAAGTTGTTAATGCAATTATCAAGACTTAAGTCAAGAAGAAAGGCTGCATTTTTGAATTTATGCACAATTTTGAGTAGGCTTTGAGAGAGTACATAAACAATGAACTGATTATTAATTTTAAATCAAAGTTTTCAGAACTTATGTTATGTTTTGCTTCATATTGTTATGTTTTTACTACTTTTGGAGAAAAAAAAGCTTGGAAAAGGAATGGTATTTATGGGGAAATACTGGATGACATTATGAATTTACAACAAAAAAAAGTATTGCAGTACAAACGATCCTATTGGGACACAAAAGTCAATCGTAGGTGATCCAACGATGGTGAAGAGTAAAGGTGCTCCAAGGAAAAAAAGAATGACACAAAAGTTGTAAGGCATTGTTCAAAATGCAACAGTATAACTCATAATGCAAGGAACTGTTTTATAATTTCAATAACTTATGATATGATTGTTAAAGTCAACATCTTATTTTTTATTAAGCATAATAGTTGTTATGGTATAATTTACAAGGTGCATACAACATGCCATTTGAACTAAATGTTGAGTTGGAGTCGGTGTCGTTAATTGATTCTTTAAGCTAAATTTAGAAAGTATTATATGTTTTTTTGGATAGAAGGTAAAATATGTTTTATTATTTATATTGTGTTATTATTTGTATTAAAATAATAATAATTTGTTTTTAAAAAGAAAAAAAAAAAAGAAAAACAAGTTGCAATGGTGAAAGAAGTGTGCAAAAGAAATGTTCAAATCCATCGAGATGATGTGGTGCTAATGTGACAACGACAACACATATGGATGTTACAAGCACAAGCAAACAAATCCATCTAATGTATGTGTTAAAACAAGATTTGATTCTGCATCTGACCTTATGCTTTGATGATAACAATACATAGTGTTTTAGAGAACAACTTTGTACCCTAATAATTTTGCTCAATGTGCAGATTTTATATTCATGCTTTGACTCTGAAAAAATGTCTTGCAATGTCATCAGACTCTGAAACTAGTGCACTCTGACTCTGAATTATGTGTTTACAAAGTTGATCAAGCTCTAGATTCTATGCTCAAGGCTTTTTACATATACTTATCTAAGGCTTTGCTACTTTGAATTTTCTAAAATTGTTACGCTCTGAAGCTCTGCGCCCAAATCAACTCTGAAATGTGTCAACAAATTTTGAAGACCATGTTCTAATGAACTAGATCAAGACTTTAAAGACCAAGTTTCTGAAGATTCTCTCAACAAGACTCTTATTCTTCTCTTATGCATGCCTCACCGCCAATTTATTATAAGCCTCTGAATATTAAAGATAAGATCAAAAGATTTTCCGTGAGAAAAATAGTACACAGTATAAGAACAGATATTCCTTCCACCACACTAATTTTGTGGGCTCAGGTATGTACTATTGTACCATTTTGTCTCTCATTCACAAACAGTTATGCAAGGATAATACTGCATTTTGGTATTCCAATTCTACCCTCCAACGGATCTCTTCATTACATATATAAAAAAGACTTGGAAGAACTGAAAAGCATGAACAAACTCTTTCTACTCTACTAACATACATGAACAATGCTATTTGTGAACATTTTGAGAGAAAACAAACACCCACACGAGAACTTTTGTTCATACTATTCATTGTAAATCTTTTGTGTGACACTTGTATTTCATTTGTGTATTTTGCTTTCTTAGAAGCACCTTGTAAACACATCTTGTATCAATATGTTTGATTGTATTTTTGTTCCTCAGGTGACTAGGGTTTAATCTATATACTCAAAAAAGACATTGATTGTTGGTCTTTGTGTTGTAATTAAGTTTGATTATAGTGGATTAAGTCCTTGTTGATAAGGCAAAATCACTTTGGCGAGTGGGCTGGAGGTAGCTTGTGTTATAGCGAACCAGTATAAAAATATATGTTTCATTATTTTTATTCCTTGTTTGCTATTTGTTGCATTAGGTTTAAAAAGCTTTAATTTTTGGAAACCCAATTCAAACCCCCATTTCTCGTGTTTCCCTTCATCTTCAATTGGAATAAGAGCTCTGATTCTGGTATGTGTTGTGTATCAAACACTTCATTGTGTCAGATAAAGATCCAGTTTGTGAAACACAATGGCACGAGTCCTTCCACCAGCTGCACTTGATGGTAGAGATGACTATAGTGGAAAATCACCAATTT